GCCGTGAGACTGTGCAGCGGCAAGAACGAAATAACCCCCTCCCAGACCCCCCAGCTGGTCCATGTGCTGTATTGTAGTACGTCACGACTGGGTGTGTAGAACGGAGTGCCGTCGACCGCGTGGGCGACGAGTAGAGAATCTCGTAATCGTACTTCACTTATGATACGCAAAGTCTGCAACTGGTAACACCAGACACCTACAAACCAGTGATGTGAGTGACCAGTCACGGAAGTGCACGTTGTCGATAGCTGACTTATGGTTGCTTAGCTGCGGTCGCTGATGGCCGGTGCGTACAGCATATGCGCGGCCGAGGCGTCTGCGTAGGGTGTTGTGACGAGTTACCCACCTGTACAGATCTCTGTCTATCGCGTGTCTCGAATATTGTGAGCTCGCAAGTAGCTCTGGGGGGTGTGTCTGGGTTGTGGTTATTGCTGGGTGTTGGAGCGTACAAATGTCGCGTCCGGGAAGTAATAACACCGTGGATCGTGTTGTATCTGTTGTCTGTTTTGTTGTCGTGTGGGAAGCAGAAGAACCACAAGGTTGGTGTCCGTGTTGACACATTATTAGTACCGACAGGATTAGTCGTAGAACTATACGGTGTGGACACTCCACCCTACCTAAGGAGAGCCGTTTCCTCTTCACGAGTGATAGTGTTCTAAAAAAAGACTAAATACTTGTTATAAGAGCTCTCTTTACAAATAAAACACATATATCTTTACAACATCTAGAAACTCAAGTAGAGTACAGTACTTTTACCCCCTCGTTTTGTTTTCCACAACGCGTAACATGAATACAACACAAGTCACATGACACCCATTTTGCTACGTTTGTTAACGATGTAAAACGGACATGAAGTCTAAAGATTGGTGTTTACTGAGACAACTTTTGTTATTTATGTCAGACCGTCAAAGGTTGACGAAGACATTTTCAGTCGACCCGTCGGTCAATGCGTGAATACACAATAGTTGGTCGTAATCGCAACGACATGACCGAAAACTCCGAGAGTGTCACTGCCGTTTACGGACCGTGACACGTCCTCCCTCTTTTTTTTTTTTTGGAACTCAGTCGACTTTTAGGGTCGAAAAGTTTTTTGTGGAAAAAGTTATGTAGTGGATGAGACGATGTAAGAACCTTCTACGCCGTGTGCAGCTCAATGTACAAAAACAGTCGTGCTCGCGAGTACCGTGGCGACTTAGTTTCGCGACTACTCTCCAAAACCTACACTTTTTTCGTAAGAGTGTATCACACAAAAAATTTGACACGTGCCTTGACCCCATTCACACTCAGTGACCAAAGTTTTACAGTCCCTACAACGAGTAAACCTCTTCTGCGACACAAACCACTTGTGATTATAATACATTACTATTTTTTAATATGGTGAGCTGCACAGCGCGTTAGCATGGTGTGAGAGACGGATACTACGAAAATTACGCTGTAGAACAAAGAGGTGGGGCAACGGGGGTGCCGGGGCGCGAGTCCTGCTGAGCGTAGCTTGTTGAACTAGATACTTCACTAAGGAGAGATCTTGGCCACCCTAAGGCACACCTGTGAAATAATCATGCTGTCTAATCAGCATCTTGATATGCCACACCTGTGAGGTGGGATGGATTATCTCGGCAAAGGAGAAGTGCTCACTATCACAGATTTTTTCAGATTTATGAACAATATTTGAGAGAAATGGTTATTTTGTGTATGTAGAAAATGTTTTAGATCTTTGAGTTCATCTCATGAAAAATGGGAGCAAAAACAAAAGTGTTGCGTTTATATTTTTGTTCAGTGTAGATAAGGTCATGGGGACAGAACTGTCCAAAATCAAAATGTTGTTTCATTACTTCTTGTTTTGTTATCATCTATATTTGCTAGTTATAGTGGCATAGCATCTTTGTAATATATATGGTAATAAATACAGTGTAAATGATCCATTGTCTCCTAAGAATTTAACAAATAGCGTTATTATAATTTCTTCAAGTTTCCTGCATATATTGAGATTTCATCATTATCATTTATTGTTTTGGCCAAGGTTATCATGACAACATATTGTGACAGCACACACACCTAGAATATGTTTGTTTGTCTCTGTTGCTATCTTCACATGACACCATTTATAGGTCCAACTGTGTTTTCAGGAAAGCAATAACCAAAAGATGGAGCTCTGCAGCCACAAAGTGCCCTAATTGCTATATTGGCTATGACAGCCTTGTTCTTTTCTTTCATCACTAACACACTCCATCAGCCCCTTTTTCTCTGTCCTCCCACTAAGCACTCATCTCTCCTCTTCAACATTTTGTCCCGTGACAATGGAGAGAAATGGACAACCTTACCTGGATAAAAAAAAAAAATCAATGTCTCTTTTCTCCATCACAAACACACATTTAATTACTCTGAGATGTGCCCATTTTCCCCGTATCTCCCACTCTGACCCCGGCCCTCTAAACGCTGGAGGTCACATATATATATTTTAAATAGTTTCTCTGCCGGCCATGATGGCACAAAAGAAATAAAATACGGGTTATTTATCACGATATAAAACATAGTTTCAGGAAAAATGAAACCTTGGGAAGATGGAGGATATTGAATTTTTCAAACGTGGTGCTCAATCCCCAGCCATTGTCTGCCTCTCCCTGGGGACCTGGCCTGTTACATGTTGCATTTAAGCACACAGTTCAATAAAGGTAATTGATAAGCTCTCATACGGATATATAGTGATGAATGAAGGATGTTTCTGCTGCGATGAATCAAAACATCTCCAGAGCCATAAATGGGCGGTGGTATCCCCCATCTAATGGGAATAAGCATAAACTCATTCTCCATAGTCAATGACATACAGTGTCGCAGACAGGCGTCCATAGGGTGTGTTATTGGGCAATCACTTACACTTTATGAGCACCTCACAGCTGAAGCAGAGATGGTGAAGCACCACCGGTGGCCGGCTCATAGATTATCGGAAAGTCTATTGATCCGAAAGGAGGCGATAGAAATGAAGCATCAATCTTCTTCACGCTAGATCTCTATGGGATAAACTAACAAAGATGCCTCGTGTGGTAAAAGGGGAATCATGTAAACGACCGAGCGACTTACAGTAAGTGCAATAAACCAAACACAGAACAAGAGAAATGAAGATATATTTGCTTCGAATGAGCCAAACCAATGTGGTTTAAGTGTTGATGCATACGCTTCAAATGGGCTAAACTCCTCAGGTGCTAATTATTATTTTATTTTGTTGGGGTGTGTTCAGTGGTGTTTCTATATGTACAAAAGTGGTGGGGCACAAAAAACTTAGATGTCTATAAGCTTCTACAGTGACGTGCAGTGAGGTTCATGGCTGGTGAGGCACTGACTCTTCAGGTTTACAAATATTATATTTTGACCTAAATCAAAATATAATGCTTCGATTAATTTTAAACAGACAGTTCAACAAAAGGATACCCAAAAAATGTAATTTTATCATTTAAATCTTGAATTGTTCTCTCTTAGTAAGATCCCATTTTCAATAAAATTGCGGTCTTGACTTGAAGATGAAGTCCATTTGCCTATCCTTCTGGACAAAAATCTCTATTACTTTTTTTGTAAAAGTCCTCCTTATCTTCTTGTAGTTTCAAAAGTCTATCATAAATCTAATCAATAGATTTATGATTAGAAAATTATAAAAGTAGGGTAGACATGTCGATATTATCCGGCTGAACAAAACGTGCATTTATCTAACAGGTACGTTTCCCACAGATCTTATTTCCAGCTATTTTCTAAAATCCTATTGCTTTTTTGCCGAGGGAAGCCATGCGCAGTTTACTTCCTGGTTTTAGGACGCGTCACTGCACCTCTTCACACACCACACTTTTCGCGGCACACGTACTTACAGCCAATCAGCTCTGAATTATGTGAGATGATGTATGGTGGGGATGGCAGCTCGGTGCCCCTATGGTGACGTATGGTGGGGATGGCAGCACACATTAAATAGGACAATACTCTGAGCATGCGCAGTGTAGTTTTTACAGTCACCCAAAGGGTGCGGCTGCTGCTGTGAGGAAATAAAGCCTGAAATTACAATGCGCTTTAATTAGACCCTCCAGAAAAACGCGGCAGTTCACTTAGAAAGTGAGAGGGGGAGGGGCATGATCGGGTTTTGTCCCACATGGCTAAACAGCTCAATAGGCACACTGTAGACACTAATTAGAAGAACACAGACTAAAACAGCAATGTACAGACGAATCAGATGATTAAACATGATCTTAAATATA